ACTCCTTAGTAAAAACTCTAATTTAGGCCAGTTTCCATTGTTTTGGACCTTGAGTGATTGAGACCACCTGTACGAATATCCTCTGCCAGAGCATCCTCAATCCTTGATGATAAAGACCGCCTTAGGGTTTTCTTAAAGTCATTGCCGATGAACACATAGAGAACTGGAGATAGGAAGCTGTTTGCTGCAGCCAAGGTGGCCCCAACTTTTAGTCCAGTTTTAATAACCTCCAGGTTGTGGTTCTTAAAGTCTATCTCCAGCAGAACAAAGGTGTGGTAGGGGACCCAGCAGGCGAAGAAAGACAAAATGAGCGCAGCCATGATTTTGTACGGCTTTGTTGACTTGTGGGTCAGACTTCTGAGCTTTATGGCAAGCACAGAGCAACAGAAGACAATCATTAGGATAGGAATCAGGAACCCACAAATGAAACGGGTCAGTACCACCGCTTTATGTCTGACCCCATAATCCGTGTGGCACTGAATGACCGAGCCGTGCACTGTGGTTTTCCTGTACATAAGTGAGGGCACTGTTAAGAATGCAGAAAGAACCCACATGAAGATGACGGCTCCAAGGGCTTTTCCTACTTTGCGGTGGTTGTGCGACCACACAGGAAATAAGACCATGATACAGCGGTCAGTGCTGATGAGAACCAACAGGAACACACTGCTGTGCATGTTGAGAAACAGGGCGGATGAGGCGAGCTTGCACAAGCCTTCTCCAAAGGGCCAGTGTGAAGTTATCATGTACACAACTTCGAAAGGCAACAAGGCACAGAACAAAAGGTTTGAAATGGCCAGGCTGATGTACCAGATGGTGATGACTGTGGTTTTCATTTTCCATCCACAAATCCAAATCACCAGGGAATTTCCTGCAAGCCCCAAAACACATATGATGATGTTGACTGCCACCAGAGCATAAGTTGAAGAAGACGAGGCGCTATATAAATTTAGGGTTCCTTCAGTGGTGAAGTTGCTATCGATGTCTACGGTGTAGTTATCATAATCAAAATACTCCACGTCCATGATTGTTCCTGAAATATATGGAACCATGACTTTTAAAAATACAAACATTTACACATATAAGCTTTAAAATTATAGGTTATAAATAACACAAAGGGTTTTCATAGAGAAAAAGATACTTACATAGGGATTTTATGTCTCGTGTGAAAATAGAGAGTTTAAAGTTGCTTGTGCCGTTGGGTGGACTTTCTCACTTCTGTTTCTTGGGCAGTAGTACTCAGTAAGTACTGACGTAGGTATTTTGCAACAGGAAAGTAGAAAAGAAAGGGAAAAAAACTGCTGAAATATCCAAAAAGAGATATCCTCCAAAAAATATCACATTTCTTGACCAGGATTGTGCCTACAGATCATTTTAATGGAATGGAAGTTATTGTGTAAAACTGTAATCTGTGGTTGAGCTCGCATTAGACCTCATAGGAAATAATTAAACTGGTTTACTGCAGATGGGAGACATACAATACGACAAATATTACACATGACATCTAAAAACATTGAATTCCCACATTGTAAAAAACAGTTTACATAACATTATTAGGTAGAATCAGCTATGGCTCAATTAGCTTACGTGTATAGGACATTCTGAGTTCTCTAATGTTCCTTTTGCAGTTCCCCAAAATCAAATACCAAGCTGTTATGCAACAAACCAAGTGGGGAAAAAAAGATGAATAAACAACTTTCATTTCAGGAATCACAAGATAAGGAAGCAGTAAATAAATCTCACTCATGACACATTTTAGATCAATATTGGTACATTTATAGAGCTCCTCTCTGTTTCTTATTAGCAAAGCTCAAGGACGTGGCTTTAACCTAGCAGCAAAAATACACAAGCCTGTGACAAAGTGGCTAGGACAGAATTCATTTGCCATTTGTCACTTGCATATATTGTTATTTTGTGTTCTGTTATCCTATAGTCTATCATAATGCTTTAATGTAAACACAGCACATGTAACCTTGGCTCTACATACTATCCCGGGTCTGTTTGTGGTAGCATTGGTTATATTCATTTCATCTATGCAAATGTACTTAAAGCTAAATGTCACTTCATCATTAATTGATTTGGATCTTTAATTTGTTTATGTAGTTTGGTTATACTTACCATTGTCTGTTCCTTTGAGCAGGTCCTATGTGTAAAACAGGTATGTCCACCTGATAGGGCCGCCCCAGTACTTCCTGATTTTATAGGATATGATGTCACTGATCATGTCAATTGGGTGTAACCAAATGAAGGGGTGTTTCTTTTGTGTAAAATTGTTTATTTCATTTAAAATAACCTCATGAGTCAGATTAAGTGAAGAGATTGACGTTTCAAACTGTTTAGTTGGGTGAATGAGTTTGTTAAGTGGAAAAATGATTTTATTCCCGTTTCTTTGTCTAGACTGTGTTATTTAGTCTACCCTGTTTTCCCAATGGTAGAGGTTAATGAGATCCAGGTGTGAGTGGAATTCTATATAAAGCAGGTGAGAGTTTGCTGTTCAGTGGGTGGAAGACGTGAGACTATTACATGCTGTCGTTTGTTCAGATTCAAGTTCATCATTGGTCAGTCTACAGCATAGACACTCAGACAGTAGAGCAGATGTTTTGGCGGAAATTCAGCAGTCACTTTTCCGGATACGCACGATGGGACTTGCAGTGGTGTTTTTATGGGTTCCAGTGCACTATGGAGTATGGGCGAATGAAAAGGCAGATAGAGTTGCAAAAGAGGCCGTAAAACATGGGGTGGTTGACATGGCTGTTAGTTTTGGCCAAGCAGAGATAAGGAGTATGGAAGGCAAGATATGAGAGCAAGATGGCAAAAGCAGTGGGAGGAGGAAAGGAAGGGACGATGGTTGTATAAAATTCAAAGGAGGGTGGGAGGAATGAGAAGCACAGGACGGACTAGGAGGGAGGAGGTGATCATATTCAGACTGAGATTTGGACATACTGGCTTGAATAATACATTATTCATGATAGGGAAACATAGTACTGGAAAATGTGATTACTGTGGGGTAGAGGAAACTATAGAACATGTCATGTTGCAGTGTCAGAGGTATCAGGTTGAGAGGAGACAATTGATTCAAAATCTCAGTAACCTAAAAATCGAACTGGATCTTGTTGATTTGTTGCGAAAGGAATCGGGAAGTAAAAGTTATCAGGCCTTATTTCAGTTTTTAAAAGAGGGGAAACTGTTTGGAAGGATTTGAGGATTTTTTATTTATTTATTTATTTATTTATTTATTTATTTATTTATTTATTTGAGCGTCGTTCCAGACCACACTCCCTACCCATTGGTGGCGGTAATGCACCTTTCAGTTGTTTGCCAACCGCCAATACGAATGTAAGAAAAAGAAGAAGTTCTGGGTTCAGGGATCAGTATTATGGGTATGTGCAGGTATATACGGATGCTTCGAAGAATCCAGCTAGTCAAGTGGGGGTGGCAGTGGTAATTCCGGACTTTATGGTAAAAATTGGGAAGAGGATTAATAATGGATTGTCTGTGTTTACAGGAGAAATGATAGCGATTCTATTAGCAGTGCAGTGGGTGGAAGATTTGAGGCCATTGAACACAATTATTTGTTCAGATTCCAGTGCAGCCTTGGTTAGTCTACAGAATGGTCATTCGAAAGGTAGGTCAGATATTTTATTAGAGGTTCAGCAAACCCTTTACAGAATACATATGATGGGTCTATCGGTAGTGTTTGTATGGGTCCCGGCTCACTATGGGGTAAGGGGGAATGAAGCAGCGGACAGGTTAGCAAAGGAAGCCACTAATCATGAGATAGTTGATCTGGCAGTGAATTTTGGTCAGGAGGAAGTAAAGAATATTATTAAGCTAGAAATGAGGGGTAGATGGCAGAAACAGTGGGACGAAGACAGGAGGGGAAGGTGGTTATATAAAATTCAAAGGGGGGTGGGAGTGAGGAGATCCACAAGAAGGAGTAGGCGAGAGGAGGTGGTGGTGTCAAGACTGAGATTTGGGCATACGGGTTTGAATTCCACACTGTGCTTGATAGGGAAGCATGCCTCAGGGAAATGTGATTATTGTGGAGTGGATGAAACTTTGGAGCATGTTATTTTGCAGTGTCGGAATTATATGGTAGAGAGGAGACGGTTGGTCCGAAATCTCAGTAGCATTGATATGAACCTTGATCTTGTAGAGTTACTACAGAAGGAGTTGGGGGATAAATGTTATCAGGCATTGTTTCAGTTTTTGAGAGAAGGAAAGTTGTTTGGGAGGATATGAAGTGTTTTTTGTTGTTGTTGTTGTTTTTTTTTTTAGCGTGATTTCTGTCCACACTCCATACCAGTGGTGGTGGTAATGCACCATGCAGTTGTTTGCCAACCGCCAATAATACGTAGAAGAAGAAGAAGAAGCAGACTGACAGGTTCTTATGTTTTTGTGAAACAATTGTTGAAAGGCGACGCCAGAAAATAAAGAACACTTAAAAGAAACTTGAACAGTCTGCAGATGCTGTCTTCTTATCACTTTCCATGCTGCTTATGTTACGCTACTTCACAAATGGTGGCAGCAGTGGCTCCAGGCCAATAGGTGATAGCAATGCAGAAATCAACCAAGTCAAGGAAACCTCAAGGGCCAACAGATTTTCCCCCAGAGGAGGCCCCAGATGATGGCAACCTGCCAGAAGCTACGGGTGAGCACAGCACCGAAGCACAAAGTCTCTCTGAGCTCTCAACTTTATTAAAAGGCCAGATGCAACAGCATGCTGACCGTGAGGCAAAATGGGAGCAGGACAGACAACGCCAGGATGAACGGTGGTGTAGAATGCAACACCAGTTCAGCCAACTGTAGCAGGAGGTCCAGTCGGAGCGCCGGGAGCATCAGATGCTGTGGGAAGGTGCAGTAGCTGATTCCGGAGTGCCTCTGAGTCCCTCAGTGCGGCAAAAGGTGCAACAACCTGTTCAACAGCGAGGAAACCCCCCTGAATCTTCCGCAGCACCACATTCATCCAATCTGGGCAGAGTAAGCGGTTGGAAAGGCCCGAAGATGCAGCCCTATGGTGAGGATGAAGATATTGAACATTATTTAACCACTTTTGAGAGGATTGCAACAGGATGTCAGTGGCCACAAGAAGAATGGGTACTGCATCTGGCTCCACTTCTTAGTGGTAAAGCACGTGCGGCATATGTTGCTATGGACACTGAAGAGACAATGGACTATGATAAAGTAAAAACCGCCGTTCTTGAAAAATTTGAAATAAGTGCTGAGACTTACCGAATCAGATTCCGCAACATGACGGTGAAGGACGATGAGACACCCAAAGAGCTGCGAACGCGCCTTAAAGACCTTTATGAAAAGTGGATGCTTCCAAAGGAGAAGACAAAGGACCAAATAGGCGATGTCATAGTGATGGAGCAGGTTCTCAGAGTTCTTAACCCAGAGCTGAGGACCTGGGTGAAAGAGCGCAACCCCACCACTTCAAAAGAAGCTGCAGAGATGGCAGAGGCTTTTCTTGCAGCCCGACACCCACAAAAAGGGTACATGGTAGGAAAACCCAGTTCAGCCCCTGTATTTGTGGGTAAGTCAGGGGGTGGGAATGGGTCCAGAGCTAAAGGCCCTAAACAAAGTTCTCCAATCACTAGCAGTAGCCGCGCTAGAGAAGTAAAGCAGAGAGGCCCATTGGTATGTCATGCTTGTGGTCAAGCAGGTCACTTTAAGGCAGATTGCCCAGGTCAGCAAGTCAGTAAGACTTACATGTGTCTTTCACCACAGTGTTTTGACTTGCTAGAGGAGGAAACTGAGTCTCTCATACCCTCCAGTGATCAGGAGCACACCATCTGTGTTTTCATTGAGGGAAAGCCGTGTGTTGCCCTCTTGGATTCAGGCAGTAGCCGCACACTTGTCAAGCAAGATTGTCTCCCTAGCGACATCACATTTTGTGGTAAAGTTAAAGTCTGGTGTGTTCATGGTGATAATGTTGATTATCCTATTGCCAACGTTTGCCTTCAAGTTAATGAAAAGGAGTACGTACTTACAGTTGGAGTAATGGATAAACTTCCCTACCAGATTGTGTTGGGCCGGGACATGCCAATTCTTGGAGAGTTATTAGCAAAGACAGAGAAGAGAAGAATCTGCATGCTCCGTGCGAAGGTCTGCTAGTGCTCACTAGGTCTGGTAATAGAGCGTCTCAGTCAGAGCTAGGTTTGAGTGAGTTGCCCTTTTCAGACAGTGAAGTTCCGGATGTTGACGGACTAAGTAGGCCACATTTAAAGAAAAGTAGAATGCAGAGAAGACAGGAAAAAGTGAGGGGGACAGAAATTGCTGAGTCACTCCCTGAACCAGAGATTGAGGAGCTCCTGGTTGTCCCAAGCAATATTGTCCAACTCCAAAGGGAGGACTCCTCTTTAGCACCCTTGTTTGCTAAGAGCATCCAAGAATTAACACAGATTACAGACAGAGTATGGGAAGTATTCATTGTAAAGAACGAACGACTGTATTGTCGTAGCAAAGTTGGTGAGCAGTTGGTTGTTCCCAAAAGCTTAAGGCCTGTAGTCTTGCAGTTGGCTCATTCAGTTCCTTAAGTTAAAGACCTTACAATAATACAACGAAAGCATGTATGGAGGAGTTCAGGAGAGAGGTACAACAGTGAGTGTCTATCTGTCAAACACAGTGGAGGCTCTGTCGCGGTGGAGACAGTCCAGCCAGTGGTGTTGGGCATCTTGTCAAATGAAATGATAAAATTGTGAACACTGAAAAGTACCCTCAGATTTTAATCCACCAAGCAGTGACATCTCAAAAACTACTGATTAGAAATAGCTTCATATTTCATCATAACAATGATACACAAACAAACTGGCAATGCAGTAAAAGCATAGATATTGATTTGATATGTTTATTGATTAGCATTCAAATATCTCAGTGAAGAC